AATGTCACTCAGGTCGATGGGCACTTCGCCTTCGTTGTTACAATGGTAATAAGGGTTAACCGGATAGGCAGTTTCTGTAAGCAGAGCAATAAAGATTAGGCTAGAAACAACACCAGAATGTTTCCTTCCTGCCTTCCTTAAGGGTTAGCCTTGTAAAGTGGGGAAAAAACAAAAAAATTCTTCCAAAAACCGGTTCCCCGAACTGCTTAGAAAGTTACCAACCGGTTCTCCCGAATAGGTGCAAACTGGCTGAATCCCACCACTGTTCTAGGCCACCGCATCATCCTGCTAGGATCTTTTGTGGGGTTTAATTTGGTCTGATGATGTTTTGAATGGTAAGAATCCAGTTGAGCAGTGCATTGAGAAGGGCCTGCTTACTACGGCTCCATATTTGATGGGTTGCCATAAAGAAGAGGGGGCCAACCTATTCTCCAAAGCACCTGAAGGCAGGACAAGACACAGTGATGGAAAGGAGAGAGCCAACTTAGAAGTAAGAACAATGAGAACAATTAGCCAGTGGAACAGCTTGCCTCTACAAGTGGTGGGTGCTCCATCCCTGGAGGTTTTTAAGATGAGATTGGAAGCCATTTATCTGAAATGGTACAGGATCTCCTGCTTAAGCAAGGGATTGGACTAGAAGTCCTCTAAGGTCCCTTCCAACTCTGTTATTCTATTGTTATTCTATTTTTCTATAATTTTGTAGCTTAGCTTAGAGATGGTGGCAGATAATCAGGAAGGACATCAAAAAATGGGGCAGGAGCAATTATGTCTGCCAATAGTGGACTTCCATGCTGCTGAAAGTCAGGGAGTCTTTGGGGAGTGAAAAAAGTCACTTATGACCATTTTTCACATGGCAGCATCCCTGTGATCATGTGATCAAAATTCAGCTGTTTGACAACTGGTTCATAGTTATGACAGTTGCTGTCTCCCAAGGTCATGTGATCATTTTTTTGCAACCTTCTAACCAGCAAAGTTCAATGGGGAAGCCAAATTTACTTAACAACCGTGTTATTAACTTATCAACTGCAGTAACTCAGTTAACAAATGAGGCAGGAAAGGTTGTAAAATAGAGCAGAGCAAATCTCCCTTAACAAATGCATCACTTAACAACAGAAATCTAAGGCTCAGTTGTGGTCGTAAGTCAAGGACTACCTATATAGGTCTCCTGAGAGAGTAGTGGGTTAGACTGGATAATGTCCAGGGTCCCTTCCAATTCTGTTACTATTAAATGTTTCACATGCCTGTGTTTGGGATCACCCAATTGCTAACCTAGCACTCTATTCTTTTTGTTTTGATACTGTACTATTGTCAGAAGTGTAGTTAAATGGATGGCAGTAATGACTTATAAGAAGAGTTGGGTCAACCCTGCAATAATGCTGTTAAACCAGGAAAGTTCACAACTTCATTCTATGGTACAGTTTTAGCATATTAGAAACAGTCAACAATGAAAGCTGATCTGTTTTTAAGACCCCTTGGCGGAGAAACTCAATGCCAGAACAAGACAGTTGCATGTTAACCTTAGAGTTGAGGTGAGAATATTAAGGTAATTTATATTTTTCCACATTGAGTAGAAAAAGCATTTTAAAAAATAACCATCATCACCAGACAGTAATTAGACGTTCTCTGTTCTACGAGCTCAAATGTATCAGGCTGCAGCTTCTATCCTTCTCAATCTATATGGTATAACCGTGCTAGTTGGGGATTATGGGAACTGTGATCAACACAACTGGAGAAGGCCAGATGGAAAAGGCTGCTTTAAACCTTGAATAGCCCAGGATAAATATTAAAGCTCTGTTAGGTCTATTTATTCCATAAAATTGCAAGTAGTTTTCCCTAGGCTGTTTTTACGGGGGGAAATCCTAACTCCAGGATTATTTTCAGTGTAAGTAATAAATAATATTTCTTACATGGTCAGATAGAAAATATAGCTCCCTTAAGCCTTGCTTAAAGAAAGTTACTTTGCTAGAACCGGCTTTTGTATGGTTCTGTCTGTGATGATTATATGCAATTATTTTTAACAATTTCTTACCAAATCCCATAAGGTAGTGATTAAAACTTGAAAGCTTTTAAAAGGCAAAAAAAGGAGAAAGAAAATATTAAAAAGTTTAATCAAGTGCTTTGAGCTCCGACTGCTTCATTTCTTCCCCTGAGTCTGTGTCTTCTCAGATTCCAGTGGAAAACAACCAAATCCTATTTCTTTTGGAGTAGACTGTTTCTTTTTTTAAACATAAATAAATAAATAAAATGGCATATTTTTAATTTTTGTTGTCTTTGTCCAAGCTCAAAGGATTCCGATACATGTTGTAATAGCATTCTGTTTTTGTAATGTACAAAAAGCTTTCTCCAACGTGTTGCCCCTGGATTCCTGGATTTCATCATTACTACACAGGGTTGGAAAATAGAAGAATTCTTCTCCAGTGCATTTAGAAGACACATGGCCAAGCAAATCTTCACAGCTATACAGCCAGGATGCGAGAAGAAAAGCTACAAAGTCTACAGAACAGGCAGCTCCAGTACTTAAAGCATTTCCTTGACAATAACCTATAGTATATAACTCTAGTTCAGGGCTGAATTGAGATTCCCTCTGCCATTTTTAAAGGAAACTAGCTGATATACTGGCATTGTCCAGGTTTTATTTATAGGGGGGAAATGTCTGGACCAAACATAATTTATTTTCCTCCTTATCAGAGGGAACCTCCTTGTGGAGTACTATGAAGCCATTACCATGGAACTCCACTGCACTGTACAGTAGAAACCATTTTACAGCTGTACAGTAGAAGCCATTTTAAAGCACAATAGGTTGTATCTTAACAAAATACACATCTTGAGGGGTATTAGGGGTGTCTTACTCCCACAGTAAGTAAGAAATTGCTAGAGGCATTCCAGAGTTATGCTGGAATGCACACACACACACAAACACACACAGAGAGCCATTTATATATCTATATAGATAAATTAATTCCATGAGGAACTGAGGGAACTGAAAATCAGCACATCTTGGTTCCTTTGCTTGTTGCAAACTGATTTCTTCTTCCAGAACACACACAATATTCTTTCTTTGCAGGACCCACACAATATTCCTTTGATTCTAAAATGTGACACAATGGTCAAACGATCAGTCTGTGGACAAAAGGGAGATGGAGAAAAGCTTGCACATTTTGTACCACTGCCCATGTGAGTGGGAGTTCTTTGAAAGTTAAAAAAATAAACTTCAAAAGAATGAAAATGACAAATGTCCTACTCTTTTTCAATTTCTAGTCATTCTCTTCTGTGAACGTAGAGTGTCATTTCACAAATAACGGTTCAGTGCAATATGACTTACATTGTTAGGGTGGTTATTAATTTAGATCAGAAAAACATCATACAATGAAGTTCAAAATAGTGCATGTGGCCTGTGGGATCTTTCCTTGCAGTCTTTAGAACCCTCTCTGACCATCATTTCTGAAAATCAAAGTCAAAGGTCCTGTTATTTTGACATAAGGAAACAGGTGGAAAACTAAAATAAACCAGAAATAGCCAGATAACTATTTTTAAAAATCCAACATTTACTCATAGTCATAAAGACCTCTTGATCCAGAAATAGATGCAACGAGGACACAAGGTGAATTTGTACAAAGCTGTTCTCTGAACAGGACCTGAGAATCTAGGAGGAGCCCAAATTTGTACTGATCCTGTTAGAAGAAGTTAACAATGAAGATCTCTGCACCTAAGTGGGCAGAAGGCATTCTGCTTTGCTAGGCTTGAGCCTCTTCTTTCCATAACCTCAAAGACGCTAAGATGGTTTCACGTAGTATATCTCTACGGTTGAGATATAAAATTGGGTGCCATCAACATACCAATGATACCTAAGCTCATAGTGATAGATGATCTCACTCAAAGACCTCATGTACATGTTGAAGAGGAACATGAAAGAATCAAACTTGGAGGCACCTCACAAAGTAAGGTCTTATGTCTAGATATCCTCTGGCCCTCTAGCACTGGTTTCAACTGATCCTGAAAGGAGATGTACTGCACTTAATTCCTTGAATCAATTCAGAAAAATAACATGGTCAAAGATGCTGACAGCTCTTAAGAGGTATAGAATAACCAGGGTAGGTTCAGTGTTTACATCTTGATCCACTTATGGATCATCCATAAGCAGAAGCAATGCTGCCTTGATGTTTTGCCCAGGTCTGAAACCAAACTAGAAGGGGTCTGGATAGTCTGCTTTATTCAGGACCTTCTGAAGCTGCAATCCAACGCATATTTTCCACAACCTTCCCCCAAAAACCAAAGTTGTAGACTGTGGACAAAGGTTAGTTAAAATATGGGGTCCAGTGATGGCTTGAATAGGGGACAGACCATTGTCTTCTTCTATACCTCAAGTTA